TTTAATCAGAAAGGTAAAAATTAATCAGAAAGGTACAAATTAAAATGATATGGTATTTTTTGCCTGTTGCTGGCAAAAATTAAAGCCTAGCAAATGCCATGTACTGGGAAAAATGAAAGAGAAATGATGCTTTTATACATTTCTGTTGGGAGTCTAAATTGCTCCCATAACTTATACTTTTGTAGTGTTACACATCACAATCCAGCAATTCCACTTTATGAACTACAGTATAGAGAAACTGCTCCAGGAGACATATATATGTATACTAATTTAAGTACTTTTATAAGAAGTAAAAAATTGGAAATGACCAAATATTCAACAATGGGTCTACAAAAAATGCCATTATATTTGCATATGATAGAATTCTCTCCAACAATTAAATAGAATAGAGATACAGTGTAGGCTCTATACTTGCTATGTTAGTAATGATGCTTTTTAATCCCCAATAATTTCATTGTCATTTATATGATCAGAGTGTTTTCTCATTTTTGAAATGGCAATAATCATACCACTTATCTCATGCTTTTATTGTGAGAATTAAATATGTAAATGTATAAAAAGTGTTGTAAAGTGTGCATGGTACATATGTATGTGTATAATATTAGCTAATCATTACAATCTAAAAACAAAAACAAAAATTCATATTTGTGAATGACAAAAGTAAGATATAGTTTATATTACTATTTATATAAATCCAAACACATACAATTAATTACTATATACTTTTTATGAATCCATATTGTCTTAGTCTGATGGGACTAATGCTATTATAACAAAATACCTGAGATTGGTTGCTTTATAAACAATAGAAATTTATTTCTCACAGTTCTGGAGGCTGGCAAGTTCAAGATCAAGGTGCTGGCAGGTTTGGTGCCTGATGAGGGCTGCTTTTTGCTTTTGAGATGGCACCTTGTTGCTTATGTCCTCACATTGTGGACGAACAACAGAAAAGAACGAACCCACTCCCTCAGGCTTTTATAAGGACCCTAATCACCTCCATGAGAGCTCCAGCCTCAAGCCTTGATTAAAGGCCCTGCTTTCTAACGCACTGGTGATTTAGTTTCAATGCCTGAATTTCAGGGACACATTCAGACCGTAGCACATATGGATATGAAAATAATAAAAAACGATCTGGAAAACCATGCACCAAAATCTTAACAGGGATTGGGTGTGGTGAAAGTGGGAAAAGAATGGGAATGGGAGTGGTCATGTAAAGGGAATTTAATTTTATCCATTGCCTCTTTATTTCTTCAAAGAAAAAAAGAAAAAAAAGGCTGGAAGCAACATCACAACCTATTGACAGTATATACTTCTGGGTGGTAGAATTAAAAATTGAGCTTGTATATTGTTTTAAAAATTTATCAGAAAGAAAGGAAGATATCAAGCAACATGTAAGGCGAAGTCTTTGCCTCTCTGTTGGTAGTGTGCTCCTAGCTGGCCTTAGGATGAAACTCCCTGCAAGCAATTAGGGAGATGAATGAGCAGGTTAGATAGCTGTTTACCATGATCACATAGTCCCAGAGGGCCCCAGATTGGAAGTTGTAAAATGCCTCTCAATAAATATATTGCTGATAATAGTTTTAGAAAAGAAATTTATATGTGATTTAAGAAAATGAATTAGAAATGAATCAGAGCAGTTGTGTGGACAGGAGACCCTTTCATCTGATGAAAACTTTCAGTATCTCCCACCACTTCTGCCTGCATGGCTAACTTCTGTCTTCCGTGGTATCCAGCAATTTGGAGGCCAGGCCTCCGTGGCATTCTTCAGCACAGACTAATGCTTCTGTGGAGCATCCCCTGAATTTCCCCCCCTGTTTCATTAGTTACCGCTCCTAACCACCCCTTTTCACCTTCCACGAAGAGGCTGAAATCACTCAGCCTGTGAAGGCTTGTTTTTCTTTCTCTTTGCTATTATAGCTTTATACCTTTTCATACACGTACTGTTGTTTTGAGGAATGCTCAAGAGGGAAAGGAGATAAAAACAGTTCAATTTATTTTTAGAAGACTTCAAATTTATTTTACATGAGCATGCTTTTTTTTTATTGTGGTTAAAAAACCACATAACATAAAAGCTATCAGCTGGGCATGGTGGCTAGCGCTAATCCTAGCACTTTGGGAGGCTGAGACAGGAGGATCGCTTGAGGCCAGGAGTTTGAGACTAGCCTGAACAACATAGTGAGACCCCATCTCTACAAAAAAATTAAAAAATTAGCTGGGTGTTGTAGTGCATGCCTGAAGTCTCTGCTACCCAGGAGGCTGTGGCAGGAGGATTACTTAAGCCCAGGAATTTGAGGTTGCAGTGAGCTATGATCACACTACCGCACTCTAGCCCCGACAATAGGGCGAGACCCTATCAAGAGCTATCCTCTTAACAAATTTTTAGGTGTACAGTACAGTAATGTTCGCTATGGGCCCAATATTATACAATAGATCCTTAGAAAAATTTTTGTCTTACACAACTGCAACTATATACCCACTGAACAGCAGCTCCTGAATTCGTCCTCCCCTTGGCCCCTGGCAACCCCAATTTACCTTCTGCTTCTAGAGCGTGCTCTTATGCATGCTCTCTGGCTATTTCATCCCTATGAAGGTTTAAAAAACAAAGATATGTTGGATTTAGTATTTATTTCTATTGAATTTCACATTTTGGGTTCTAGTCCATCTTTTAGTAAGATTGAGATAATTTTGATTCTTGAATAGTCCAGCACATAAACTCTTTTGGGACAGTCAGAACCACGTTTTGATTTTTAGACCCAGCCAAGACATCACCCTCTATTGCTCTACATTAAATGTTTCCCCCCCCCAACCCCATATTATTATCTCCTCAAAGCCCCAGGGGTATTAATCACTGTTAGGCTCTTTTCCCAAGGACTCTCTTCTGCTAGTTTTATATTTCCACTATTAGACTCAGTGGTCAACAACAGTCTTCATATCTCTTTAAAAAAAATGATTAATTGATTTGCTAATGTTTATGTAGCGAGTGTATGGCAGAAGTTGGACAGTTGTGTTTAGTTTAAGCAATATTTGTAGATGTCTATGTGCCTGACATTGTGCTTAGTGCTGGAAGTACAAAGGTGAATATTATAGAGTTTCTTGTTAAAAAATATATATACACATATATGTGTATGTGTGTGTGTGTGTGTGTGTGTGTGTGTGTGTGTGTATGGAGAGAGAGAGAGAGAGAGAGAGAGATGGCTTTTAAACCTTTTTGATTATGACCCATACTAAGAATATAGTTTACCTAATGACCTTGTGCACACGTATATACTGATTATTAAAGCAAAAATTTCAGAAAATAATACTGAATTTTCTACGTGCAATGCATTTGGATGTTTATTCTATTTATTTGATTTAAAACAACAGGTCATATTTTACAAGCCAATAACAGGTCTTGATCAATGTTTGAAAAAAAGAGTATACAGGAAAACAGTTATTTAAAACAAATAATTTCAGCTAACAAAGAAAGTTATGAGAATGATGTTTAATTCCAAATTCAGATCTTTTCTTACAGATTATGGAATGCTGCTTATTTTTAGCTTGGACTCATGCTTACCTTTTAGGCATTCGCATTTACATTCACATATTAGCTTATCAGCACCTTGTACCCCAATTAGGTACATTTTGGTGGCAATACTCCTTAATGTGAGGCAGGAAAAAGCCAAAGGTGAAGGGAAGACAAGGCTAGCTGAGAATGGCTGGATGGATGGCAGGGGAGGGGCGGTGGCCAGAGAATTACCTAACCTAGTCGTCAGAGGAAAGAATAATCAGAACACCACTTACAGAACTAGGTAAGTTTTTGGGGGCAGTAACATCTGATGGATAGAATCATTTATTCTTTCCCCACTTTTGTCACATTCAATCTCTATTTAGATTTTGGTGTGTGGTCTTTCGGATCATTTTTTAATACCTTCACCTACATATGGATTCATAAAGAGTATATAGCAATTATTTGTAAGTGTTTTGATTTATATATAGTAATTTTATCTCCTCCATCCCTTAGCTCCAGAAAATCTTACCCGGTACCCCTTCAAGGCTCAAAACATCCCAAGCCTGCTTCCGTCACTTACTCACATTGCATTGACACAGTATGTTTTGGCGTCCTGAGAGCAGGAGTGCCTCTTCCTTCTCTGAATTCCTAGCATCCAGCCGAGTGCCTGGCGCATGGTAGGTACTCACGTACACATTCTCTGAATTCCTAAATCTCGATTTCCTCCATTGTGAAACAAAGTCGGGCAAAATGATCTCCAAGGGCCCTTGCAGTTCTAATAATCTATGACTTGGACGGATCTCAAATGGCCCACAGCACTCTGCCTCACAAGAAAGCCCACGTCTTCTCTGTGGTTGGCCCGAGATCATGAATTCAAACACAAATGAACTGTGCACCATTTAGGGCCTCACTTTGCCCTCACTGAACCAGCAAGAGTGTTGTGATAAGAGCAGTTGAAAGCTTATGCCACAGCAGCGCCCGCAGCAGAGAAAGATTCCAGCCTCCACCTCCTGCCTGACTGCTGGGGCTCTCAGCCTGCAGTTTCCTCTAAGGCTCTGGATTGGTCCGAGGGCGACAGAGGGCTGGGGAAGAGCCTCTATATATTCCTCAGAGGGAAAGGCAGGCCCAGACAGTTTTGAAGGTTTCAGACTCTATCTGCTGTTAAGAAGTTGTACTCAAAGCTGAGGAGCTAAGCCAGTTGCCAAAATGTGCAAAGGACTTGCAGCTTTGCCCCACTCCTGCCTGGAAAGGTGAGAACCGAGTTACTTTGGTTTAAGAGATGGAGATAAGGAGAATCTTTACTCAAGGGAGGATACCCAGAGACGACAGAGGCATTGTAGTTTGTGACTAAACTGAGCTAAAACAGGTGTTTTCTTGTAGACTGGGAATGGCCTCTTCTCTGTAAACAATGCAGAGATTTTGAAAGATCTGAGCTAGGAGATGCAGGCACAACACGGGATATGTGAAACATAATTTAATATCCAGAACATCACTTCCTTCAAACAGATACTGATTCTATACGTGCTTATTCAGAGTGAAAAATGTGTGATTAAGAATGTAGATTCCAGCATCAACCTGTCTGGATTTGAATCCTGGCTCTACTAACTCACTATTGGTGTGGCTTTGGGCAATTTATTTAACCTCTCTTTATCTCAATTTTCTTATCTGTAAAATAGAAATACTAAAAGTATCCACCTCACAAGATGAGGATCAAATGAATGTAATGTAAGGATCAAATGAATTAATGTATATGAAATGCTTAGAACAATGTTTGGCATGTAGCAGAACTGCATAAATGTTAATCTTTATTAACGTACAGGGCCTGGGAGACGAAGACAGGTTTGCAGGGAGGCAGGGGGATTTCTCATTGTTCTTTAGATAAAAGTAGTCAGATTGCTAGACAGAAAAGCCCTTGGGACACAGAGGTTATTTATTAGCTCGCATTCTTTCTCAGATAAATGGAGCAAAATCTTTAGGACTCCCTGGTTGTTCTTAGGCTGGCCAGTGTTCTGGAGAGAATCCTAAATATCAAGATTGAGTAAATAGAAGAAGAACAAATATTTTACTTGCTAGAAAATTTAACCCAGCAATCCCACCCGATACAGAGAAGTAGGGATGTTTCTCCTCTTTTTGTGAATGAATTCGATTAACTTTCGTTTGATCCCTCATTATTTAAAGGAAATAAAGGTGACCCTTGTGCAACTCTCCATCCCTCAAGGCGCTGGCAATAGAAGTTTGTTGTTTAATGAGTCATCTATGACTTTTGTCTCTTACAAGCTCAGGTTTTTTTGATGACTTCCAATCTAGAAACAGCCTTGAAATAATTTTTAAGAAGATAACATTGTAGCATATAAATTTGTTTCCAACAATATTGTCTAGTGACTGAAAATGAACCCTCCAAGGAGCCTTATACCCTGCTGTCAAAAGCACATATTATTATTTTTTAATGCACAAAAAAGAAACTTGTAGCTTTTAAGTCATAATAGTTAGATTGTAACTAGGGGATCAATATTGTTTATTGGACCAACCTTGGGGAGGAGGATAGGTTTTAGTGCTGGATACTACTTATTGCTATTAGCCTGTTCTTTCCTCTTTACTCTATAGAAAGTTTGAGAAATAGAGCACAGAGAGCTGAAAAGCACTGAAAGCTCCTTAAATATGAGATGATGCATAATTATTTTCTTTTCCATTTTTGCAACTATGGGAATTGCAACTTGACTTTCTCAACAATATTAACAAATACCTTTAGCTCACTTATTATTTGAAATTATTTTGTGCTCTCCTGTAGTAAATAAATCTTACTTTATTAATTGGTGAATAATTGACTCTAGAATGATCGCAGCATCAGTTTGCCAGGCATTTTGTAACCCTATGATGCACTGCTTGGCATTTGGTGAGTAATCAATAAATGTTTGTTGAAAGTTTGGCATTCTTCCTAATTTTTCCCTGTGTGTTCTTATAAATATGCATGTCTACTGAGACATATGGATGAAACATTTCTTTCAATGATTCCTATTACTGTTTCATATCTGATTCACTAGCAACATTAATAGTGAATCACTTTATGTATCATTTTTTAAACATGCTTCACAGAAAAGTAATTTTATGCATCTTTTAATGCACAGCAAACTCTTATGCTCCAGGATATAATTAATGTTCCTGTGGAATATTAAAGAGTGACCAGGAAGTAAGCTTTTTTTTTTTTTTTGGTAGATTGACTGAATCTTTTAATTTACTGGAGTGTGCAGAATCCTGCAGTTATTGTGTGTTATTACATATTTTTTTCACAATCTGTTCCCACTGTAAACAGAATCGTATTTCTATTTACAATGCTGTGTGAGTGGAATGTTTTGGAGAAATGGAATTGTGGAGCTGTCAAGCTGTTAGCGTATACCCATGGAAAGGATCTAAGATTGTCTACTCAAAGGGGAAAGTGTTCCTTGAATAAATGGTTCCAAACCTACTTCCATGCTCTATACTTCGACTCTCACCTCTCTTATATACCAGGCTCCCACCTTTGCATTTTTCCCCAAGCTACAAGGAACATGGGTATGCCTCGATGCTTAGATAAAGATATTTCAACATCCATATAAAATAAATTAGGGCAAAAAGTATGCATTACAAGACAAATCTATTTTTACTGGAAAGTTCTGCTGAAGAGTTAAATTGCAACTTCTATATTGCATGGGAAATAGAATTCAGTTTTACAAAAATCTGATTAATATATTATTATTTATCAGTAGTGGAAAGAGTACTGGTTAAAAGTAAGGGGCAGACTCAGTTTTGTCATCATCTAAATTTATGTCCCTGAGCAAGTTATTTCACTTTCCTAGGACTCTATTTTCTAATTGGATAGGTAAAAGTTGGATTAGTTGTTCTCTAATACCTTTTCCAGTTCCGACGTAGTGTACATGAAGTGAGATACACCTGGTTTTGGTGACTAGTGAGAGATGCAATTAAAGGAAACTTTTTCCTAATTTATTTTTTTCTGGAAGCTTGGAAGTAAGTATGAGTCAAATAATGAATAACCATCAAGGACCCAACTCTGGGCTGAAACCACTGTGCTACAGCAGAAGCAACCTACCCACTGACTCCAATACTGACACATAAGAACACATAACTTACTTCATGTAAGGGAAAATGTAACCGCAGGAAATATTCTTTTCTCAATGTCTAGGGAAGTTTTAAGCCTGAGTCAACTTTGACATATTTATAGAAACTATTCTTTGTTTATTTATTAAGATTTTAAGGCTATCGTTTATTAAAACCCAAGTAGAACTCATGTATCTTTATATATTTATAGAGACAAATAATCCAAACCTTTGAGCAATGAATGGTCACCACCACACAATTTCTACCCTCTGGCGTATTGAAACCTGTACTGTAGGGATGGGAATCTTACACAGTCAATAAAAAGGAAAGAAATGAGTCAATTGAAGGTCTTATTTTCACCCATGATTTTCAACTTTGAATTTTAGGCTTCTTTTGAAAATTAGTTTTATTTTCACAGTTTGTGAATTTCTACAAACAACTTTTTGTTGTTGTTGTTGTTTTTGTTTTTGAGACAGAGTCTCACTCTGTTGCCTGGGCTAGAGTGCAGTGGCATTATCGTAGCTCACAGCAACCTCAAACTCCTGGGCTCAAGAGATCCTCCTGCCTCAGCCTTCTCAGTAGTTGGGACTACAAGCGCGTAATGCCACATCCAGCTAATTTTTTAAAAAAATTTTTTGTAGACTTGGGATCTTGTTGTGTTGCCCAGGCTGGTCTTAAACTCCTGGGCTCAAGCAATTCTCCTGCCTCGGCCTTCCAGAGTGCTGGGATTATAGGCATGAGCCACTGTAACTGGCCTGATGTTTGTTTGAAGTAAATATTGCTCTTTGGAAAAAGATGGAAGTATTCTGAAATAAAAAGTGTTATGATTTCCAAAAAGTTGTCACCATAATATAAAGCAACCAATGTGGTTATTATAATTTTTGTTCATTGGTGTTGACTAGTCTTAGTACCAAGTTCATTGTCTCTACTAAACTATAATAGCATGGAGAGTAAAGGAATAACTAATACTCAGCTTCTGACAAAGAATTTTCAGTGTTATATTAACAAAGTGCCACAAACCTCTTACCATTGTAGGTGTCTGGCATAGATCTGATTTCTGTTTCAGACTAGAAAGGCTACTAATGGTGTAATGTGTTTAATCCACCATTCACACACAGGGCTTCTGGTCATCTCAAGGGTGTGGTAATGCTGGGATTTTAGGAGTTACAGAAAGTAAATGGGAAAGGTGATTTTTCAAAATTTACTATTTATTATTTTAGAATTTATTTTAAATTTTTATTTGCTAACAATTTTATTTGTTTTAAAAATTTATTTTTATTTTACTAAACATTCGATTTTTTCCCATCTACTCTGATTTACGTGGGTCAAATAAGGAGCACATTTAGAGCAAAAAGACAGCTAATAAGCAGGGCTACTAATCAACTAATCTTCTTTGGAGAGTATTAAGCCTTTGGAAGCACCAAACAGAGGGGGTAAAGGCCCCTGGGTCTGCAGGATTAAGTAAATTCAGCCTTTTTCAAAAGCATGAGCTCATCCTTGAGCTAACTATAGGGAAAAGGTAAGCACCAAGTGAATAAAGACCGTGGTAATTAACTTGAGCAAGTAACAGCTCAATAGAAATGAATACAGGATCATCAAAGAAGTCTAAGGAGATGGAGGCAGAGCTTCCTGGTGGGTTTAGGATCAGGCTTTCTGGGAATAAGTGTGAATTTGAATGTGAGATGTATGAAAATAAATATATAACTGATAGTCTATGATATAATCCAAAATATTGCAGTAAAACCGTATAATGTAAGAAAGTGAGTGAACTATTTAATAAAATTTGGAGGGGAAAATCACTAAGAAAAACTTTGCTTTGATTTTCATTAAGGAAACAATATCTATTATTTCTCTGGAGTGCCTTTCAAATCTGTGTACTTACTCTAAGCATACAGATAAAAAACCCAGGCCTTGTTCCCAAGGAAATTTCAGCCCGGTTAGAGAGATAAAGAAGAAAAAAATTAAGCTCAGCGTTGTAATCCACTATGAAGGAGCTAACGCACAAAGGGCTAAGAAGCACAAAAGTGGGAGAAGTCGTGGGGGGTGGGCCCTCGTAAGAGCGTTTGGTAGTCAGGGAAGACTTTACTAGAAGCTGCAGGGATGATGCTTGAACTAACCCTTCAAGGAAAAAGGAGTTATCCAGGTCTAGATAGGAAGA